GTAATATCGTAACTATCCGAAATAAAGCTCATGCCAATGGCCTAAGTGGTCACCTTTAATATTAAAAAAAAAAATAATAATTATCACGCAAGTTACTACAATTTTTTTCCTTAATAAAAAATATACACGTGTATATATGTTATAAAAAAAAAAAAATTACAATACATCATAATCATCCTCATTATTTAATTGCGTAAAGAAATCATTAATAGATGCTTGGCGCTTAGATTCTCTATATTTTTGATTTAACAAAGCTAAGTATTTTCAAAAAATTTTAAGATCCTCAGCTTTGAAATCTGTGTCAATTTGTTGTTCAAAAAAGCTAATAAATTTATTTAAACCTATTAGCCCTTCTGAAATAAAAATTTCTGGTTGTTCTTCATCTAAGTCATCAGGATCTCCATTTTCATGTTGATTTGCTTCATCTAAAACAATTTCAATAATTTCTAAATCTTCAAGCTTTTCCTTGGTTATTATATACAAATCACCGAGGTCTAAATATGTATTTAATTGGCTTTTAATTTCCAGATCTGGATCTTGAGAGGTCAAGTCTATTACCAAGTCATTGACATTCTCTTCTTGCTGTTCTAACAACATATCCTGATTATTGATAGCAACTTCTATTTTTTCACGGAAAACTGATAATAGAATTCTGATCTTCCTCCAACAATTGACAATTATATGGTCTTCAACGGCATTCCAAGACTTAGATACGTAGTATATAGTGTTCTTAATATTTAACTTTTTTCTAATTGAAATTGAAATATAATTAGTATTAAAACACCTATTAATTAAAAAATTAAAAAGGCAGGCATCAATAGAAATCAAGCAGATTAATATATATATTTTTTTAAAAAAATTTAATATCTTAACTTTTACAGCTCATATCTCGATGAACTCGAAGCTATTTCTGTGATTTAATAGTTAAATGAAAGATTTAAGCTTTCTTTGACAATTAAATAACAAAATTTATCAAGATATAAGCTTGTGTAAGTTAAGGAATAATTTTTTTTTAAAATGTTAATCTGCTTAATTTATATTGATGGTGGCTCAAGGTATAAATTATTAACTTTTTTAAATCTTCATTGTTTTCAAGTTGCATTAGAATATGATGAATATATTTTTGCTTATATTTGGATTTGAAACTTTTGATAACACCTGCATCCATAGACTGCAGGTGTGCAGTAGTATTTGGGGTAAAAATTCAAGTTTAATATTAGTCAATTGTACATTTGAATAATCAGGAATAAAACGTGGTTGCTCATAACTACTACCATAATAACCTTTACTCCCACTAGTACTATGTTTACCATGATTACCATGATTACCACGACTATTATTTGCACTCTGATTGGTTCAGGTTAATCTTGGCCAACCTTGACCTTGATGATTCCCACGTGAAATAGTTGTTACTTCAAGTTCTGAATTATTAGATATTTCTTCATCTAAATCAGAATTTGATTCATTCGATTCATGTGTTTCATGCGTATTAGGTTGGTTATGAAAATGTGATGAGACATTATCTACTAACAACAAAACTTGGTGATTTTGAAAGTAAAATCTCTGATCTAAATTTGTTAACCATTCAGAAAATATGTCATTTTGTATCTATGCCCAGAAATTTGCATGATAAGTAACAGGTAAGGAATCATAATTAACATTATAAAGTGTATGAGGAGAAATTGAAGACCCAATTACTAATAGTTTTAATTTTTCAGTTCCCATTGCATTACATATTAGCATAATAGTGATCTGTAAATGATCCTAATTATTATAAAATTAAATGATTAAAATAAGAGGATTTTATTTGTACTAGTGAATAAGTTACCTGGTATATGAAAAAAAAATAAAACTTGCTAATGTCTTAAAATTTATTATAAAAAACAATTTAAGCACAATTTTACAATACTTTTCTAGGAGCAAAATCTCAATTAGTACCTGGGTTTTTTACAATCATGTTTATAAAATATACTTGATTAATCTCAGGTACAAATCATGGTAGTAAGCTAACAAGGGAGTATTATTTGCTACAAATATTATAGTAAATACATTTTTCATAATACTAAATCTAACTCTAGAGTTAAATATTAAATTTTTTTCATATACTGGATAACTTACTATATAGATA